GCCTGAGGCAGCAGCGCATCCAGACGGGCAATGCCTGGGGAGCTCAAACAGAGCAGCAGCAGCAGCAGCAGCAGCAGCAGCAGGGAGAAAACCCAATGGACCCACCTTGTGCCCGCGACGCTATCAAGCAGCTTGTGGCCGAAAGGTCACGGGTAAGATGCCCTGCTGCTGCTGCTGCTGCTGCTGCTGCTGTTGCTGCTGCTGCTGCTTCTGTGGCGGTGCACGGGTAATGGTTATCTTGGTTTAATTCTGCTGCTGCTGCTGCTGCTGAGTGGCATTGCGCGCGTGACTGTTGTTCTGGTTTGCTGCTGCTGCTGTTGCTGCTGCTGCTGCTGCGTCTCAGCTGGAGCTGCAGCAGCTGTCGCTGCTAGGAAGAGACTTGTCTCCCTTTGTCACCAACACAAAACTGCTGGAAGAGTGCCAGGCCTTGGGGTGGGCTGCTGCTGCTGCTGCTGCTGCTGCTGTTCTTGCTGCTGCTGCTGCTATCCTTGCTGCTGCTGCTCTTGCTGTTGCTGCTGCTGTTGCTGCTGCTTTTACTGCAGTTTTCGCGGCGATGCAGGTGCGAGGATAATTTTAGTGTAGGGTTTAGGGTCTAGCGTTTAGGATTTAGGGTTTAGGTTTTAGGGTTTGGGGCGTTGCTGCAGGCCTGCCTTTTACTGCCTGCGCCGGGGCGTGGGTGGCGAATCTGCTGCTGCTGCTGCTGCTCTTGCTGATTGGCTGCAGCGCTGCAGCAGCGTGCTAAGTGCAGCAACATCAAAAGATATAGCTCTGCTGGCAGCTTATACTGAGGCCTGCAGCAACCGCTTGCCCCAAGCAGGTATCTGCTGCTGCTACTGCTGCTGCTGCTGCTACTGCTGCTGCTGCTGCTGCTGCTGCTGCTGCTGCTGCTGCTGCTGCTGCTGGTAGAGAGGGAGGGCGTGGGTTCTGGGCTGCAGTCGTTGGGGTTCTTTTTGTGCAAAAGAAGCGCTTTTTGGGCGAAGCGAAGCAAATGCAACTCGCGCTTCGCTGCTGCTGCTGCTGCTGCTGCTGCAGTTCTGACGAAAGGCAGCAGCAAACACAAGCCCTCGGCGCTGCTGTCTCGAGTTGCTGGCCGAAAGTCCCGCAGCAAAGTGCTGAAGTCGATGAGGTACTTCGCGCCGCAGACGGAGGAGGGCGAGCTGCTGCAGCAGCTGGACATAGTGACGGTGGGTGGGGTGGATTGGAGTTGAATTTGGCCAATTTAACTCCTTTTTAGTCCATTTTAATCCATTTTAATCAAATTAAATAAAACCAAAATGTTTTTATTCTTTAGTTTCGCTTTTTCGCGGCTTTTTCGCTTCAAACGGCGTCTTTGGGGTCGGGGTCACCTGTGCCGCTGGGGTGTACAGACAGCTCGCTGGGGTGTACAGACACCTCGCTGGGGTGCACGGACACCTCGGGAGGGCCGCGTTTGCGGCATTTGCTGAGTTGAAGAGTGCTTTTTGAAATTAGAAGTGCAATTTAAATGCTATTTAAAATTAAAATAGAATTTGAAGGGGCTTTGAAGGGCGCGGGGGGCTGTTTGGGAGCTGCTGCTGCTGCCGCTGCAGCAGCTGGCAGCAAAAGGGGATTTTGCAGTGCTGCGGGGCTGTTTGGGTTTGGCGCTGCTGCTGCTGCTGCAGCAGCAGCAGCAGCAGCAAACGGAACAG